TGGCTAAATTTCTAAGTCATGTGTAATTAAAATTTTTATTTCATCATGATATAAATTGTCTCAAGCTGTGTGATCATTTCCACTGATTGCCACAGAAGTCATCTGTAGTATTTCCCTTTTAGATAGTTTAAACTTGCCCATAAACATATAAGAAATGTTCATACTTAAACGGAGAAGGCAATGGCAATGCACTCCAGTACTCTTGCCTGGAAAACCCCATGGGAGGAGCCTGGTAGGCTGCCATCTCTGGGGTCACACAGAGTCAGACACAACTGAAGTGACTTAGCAGCAGCAGCAGCATACTTAAATAAAAACCACCACCAAACATACAAAATCTCAAGCATTCACGTGCCCCCTGAAACATTTTGGAACAGTATGGGATCGGCTAGGAAGGTAAACATACAAGTTTGTATAGGTTTGCCTAACAACCCTCAAATAACTTTTATTTGATCTTGCTCACAATTAAGAAGGAACATACCTTCAACAGACCTAATCATGGAATCATTTTAGGGCATTTTGAATAAAACCATATCATTTATAAATACTAGAGCAGAACAAATTTTGCATTATATAATTAAAATTACTATAATTATGCTTTTAGGACATCTGCTGACAAGAAAGGCTTAACACTAGTGACAAAATACTGTTTTGAGACCACTATAATGTGCCTAGACAAATTCATCTTTATAATGAGTTATCTTATATACATAATATCAACAAATATGACTTTGAGAGAAATTGGTTAAATAGGTTACATTACAAACAAGAGAAGCCTAAGATTTGCCCTTTGAAAGAACTTTTTAAATAAGCCAATAATTTAATATTTGAACATTTGAAACAATTACTTTTCTATGTGGCAAATTCCAGGCTAGTTACCCACCTCCTCCCTTCCTGTTTCCAATGACTAATTTTTGTTTTTAAAGATTTATGTTGGCTATGCAGCACAGCATGCAGGATCTTAGTTCCCTGACCAGGGATTGAACCCACACCCCCTGGAGTAGAAACAGTGAGTCTTAACCACTGGACCATTAGGGAAGTCCTTCCAATGACTACTTTAACATGACTTTCCTTTAAGGGTCTTCAGCTTAGAGATACATACTCCATAAGCTTCTTGCTTTTTCTGGGGACCTAAATAAGCATAGGCATACTTCAGTTTACTGAGCTTTGCAGATACTGCCTTTCTTGAAACCAAATCGAAGGCTTGTGGCAACCCTACATCAACCAAGTCTATAGGTGCCATTTTCCCATCATTTGCTCATTTTGCGTCTGTGTCAATTTTGGTAATTCTCACATTTTGAATTTTCTCATTTTCATATTTGTTATGGTGACCTGCAATGAGTGATCTTTGATGTTATTACTGTAATTGTTTTGGGTGCCATGAACTTTGACAACATAAGATGACGACCTTAATAAAAATGTATTCTGATCACTCCACCAGCCGATCATTCCATCTTCCCGCCTTTCCCCTGGCCTCCAAGACACAATATTAAGACTAGGTCAGTTAATATCTCTAAAAGGACACTAATGGTTCAAGTAAAAGAAGTCACAGGTCTCTCATTTTATATAAAATATTAGACACAACTAAGTCTGCTGAGGAAAACATGTCAAAAGTCAAGATAGGCTGAAAGCTAGGCCTCTTGCAACAGTTAGCAAAGTTGTGAGTGCAAAGGAAAATTTCTTAAAGGAAATTAAAAGTGCTATTCCAGTGAACACATAAATGAAAAGGGAAACTGCCTTATGGCCAATAAGAAGATCTTCCATATGGACAGAAGATCAAACCAGCCACATTAAGCCAAAACATAATCCAGTGGAAGGGCCTAACTCTTTTCAATTCTGTGAAGGCCAAGAAGTGAGGGAGCTGCAGAAGAAAGCTTGAAGGTAGTAGAGGTTGGTTCATGGGGCTTATGGAAAGAAGCTGTCTCTATAACACAAAAATGCAAGGTGAAGCAGCATATGCTGATGTAGAAGCTGTTAACAAGTTATCCAGAAGACCTAGGTTAAGATAAATAATAAAGGTGGCTACACCAAAACAATAAATTTTCAATGTAAATGAAAAGCCTATATTGGAAGCTGCCACCTAGGAGTTTCATGATAGAGAGATGTCAATGCCTGCGATCAAAGCTTCAAAGGACAGGCTGACTCTCTTTTGGGGGTTACTGAAATAGGTGACTTAAAAGTTGAAACCAAAGCTCATTACCATTCTGAAAACCTTTCAGTTCAGTTCAGTTTAGTTGCTCAGTTATGTCTGACTCTTTGCGACCCCATGAATTGCAGCATGTCAGGCCTCCCTGTCCATCACCAACTCCCGGAGTTTACTCAAACTCATGTCCATCGAGTTGGTGATGCCATCCAGCCATCTCATCCTCTGTCATCCCCTTCTCCTCCTGTCCCCAATCCCTCCCAGCATCAGGGACTTTTCTAATGAGTCAACTCTTCACATGAGGTGGCCAAAGTATTGGAGTTTCAGCTTCATCATCAGTCCTTTAATGAACACCCAGGACTGATCTCTTTAAGGATGGACTGGTTGGATATCCTTGCAGTCCAAGGGACTCTCAAGAGTCTTCTCCAACACCACAGTTCAAAAGCATCAATTCTTTGGCGCTCAACTTTCTTCACAGTCCAACTCTCACATCCATACATGACCACTGGGAAAACCATAGCCTTGATCAGATGGACCTTTGTTGGCAAAGTAATGTCTCTGCTTTTTATATGCTATCTAGGTTGGTTATAACTTTCCTTCCAAGGAGTAAGCGTCTTTTAATTTCATGCCTGCAATCACCATCTGCAGTGATTTTGGAGTCCCCAAAAATAAAGTCTGATACTGTTTCCACTGTTTCCCCATCTATATCCCATGAAATGATGGGACCAGAAGCCAGAATCTTAGTTTTCTGAATGTTAAACTTTAAGCCAACTTTTTCACTCTCCTCTTTCACTTTCATCAAGAGGCTTTTTAGTTCCTCTTCACTTTCTGCCATAAGGGTGGTGTCATTGGCATATCTGAGGTTATTGATATTTCTCCTGGCAATCTTGATTCCAGCTTGTGCTTCCTCCAGCCCAGCATTTCTCATGATGTACTCTGAATATAAGTTAAATAAGCGGGGTGACAATATACAGCCTTGATGTACAGGATGTAAAATTATGCTAAACTTACTCTGTCTGTGCTCTACAAATGGAAAAACAAAGCCTGGATGACAGCACATTGTTTACAACATGATTTACTATTTAAAGCTCACTATTAAGACCTACTCCTCAGAATAGGATTCCTTTCAAAATATTAATGCTCATTGACGATGCACCTTTGTCACCAAAGAGCTCTGATGGTGATGTACAAGCAAGATTAATATTATTTTCGTGTCTGCTAACATAACATCCATTCTGTAGGTCACGGATCAAAGAGTAATTTCAACTTCCAAGACTTACTATTTAAGAAATATATTTCATAAGGCCATAGCTGCCATAGGCAGTGAGTGCTCTGATAGGTCTGGATAAACTGAAAACCTTATAGAAAGGATTCACCATCCTAGAAGCCATTAAGAACACTGTGAATCATGGTTAGAAGTCAAAATATCAACATACGGCAGAGTTTGGAAGGAGCTGATTCCAACCCTCATGGATGGTTCAAGACTTCAGTGGAGGAAGTAACCAAAGGTGTGATGGAAACAGCAAGAGAACTAAAACTGTAAGTGGAGCCTAAAGATGTGATTGAATTGCTCCAACCTCATGATCTTATTTTAACATATGAAGAGCTGCTTTGTATAAATGAGTAAAGAATGTGGTTTCTTGACATGAACTCTACCCCTAGTGAAGATGCTGTGAAGACTGTTGAAATGGCAGCACAGAATTCAGAATATACATAAACTCAGTTAGCAAAGCAGGGTAATAAGGGTGAGAGGACTGACTCCAATTTTGAGAGAAGTTCTACTTCTTTCAAACAGCATCACATGCTACAGAAAAATCATTCATGAAAGGAAGAGGCAGTCAATGAGGCAGACTTCATTACCGTCTTATTTTAAGAAATTGCCATAACCACCTCAGACTTCACCCAGATCAGTCAACAGTCATCAACATCAAGCTAAGATCCTCCACCAGCAAAGACTATGACTCTCTGAAGGTTCAGATGATGGTTAGCACTTTTTAGCAATTAAGTATTTTTTTAAATTAAGGTGTACATATATATATATTTAAAGACATAATACTATTATACACAATAAATTATAGTATCATACAATATAAACATAACATTTACATGCACTAGGAAACCAAAAAATTCATGTGACTTGCTTTATCACAATATTTGCTTTTTTGGAGGGGTCTGGATTTGCACCCACAATATCTTGGAGGTATGCCTATATAAGTTCATAAGCATTTTAAGATACTAATCATTTAACTTTTTTTCTCAAAATGAAAAGTTTCTTATCATTTTATTTCATAGATAAAAGTCACATTAACACTCCTGGGAATAAACTTTATTACCAGGGTTTTAAAATGCATAAAAGATAAATATAGTAGTACTTGCAGGTAAATATGGAGATTGAGGCAAAAGGGATTCTAGGAAAAATCCTATATCCTACCTAGAGTACCTCTTAAGCTCCCTCTGCTGGCTACCATTTAAATAAAGAAAAAAAAAATTGTAAACCTCTTTTCCTTTGAGCAGTAATGGGAGAAACAGCCTGAAGCTGACAATGCTGTCGTTGAAATTGTAAGGAAAATTCTCCCTTAAGCAAGGGCAAGTCTAACTGCTGCTACCTTCCTTAATAAGGCTTTAGAATTTCCAAACAGATTTGGGGAGTTGGGGGGGAGGTGGGAGAGGCCACAACCAACTTAAAACAAGGAAAGTCATTACCAAGTTTGAATGTGTTAAGCACAAAATTGATATACAAAAATGCAAAAGCATTAAGTATAAAACAAACTATAAACAATTATCATCAACACTAGGAAATTAATAATTTAAATATAGTTCACAAATTTCACTATAACAAAAAGCTTATAGCACACTAATCTATTAGTTTCAATATTAAGGTTTATTTTCTTTTTCCTCCAGAGTGAGGTTAAGTAACAACTTAAATAATTTTCAGGATGTATAAATGAGCATCCATTCGGAAAGAACATTACTGCTTAAAAGTGGCTATCTAAGAAATATTTTGCATGTAATAAATATATTCTATGTTTAGGTTAACAGGCACCATCTCGAGAGCAAAAAAGGTTTTTTTAACCAATAAATAAATTACATTCAAGAAAACAAAGTGTTTATATCTGAAGTATGATATATCCTTAAATGTTTTTCTTCATATAGCACCCAAACTTCCAAACTGTCTAGAAAGTAGCTTCTAAATATAACCCATACCTTAAGTCATAAAAATAAAAGGCAAAAAAAAATCAATTTAAGACAAAACTTAGTTTATATTAATTCCCCATTCAATAAAATATCAATTGCCAATTTATTAAACGAACTGTAAATATGCAATGTTAGTGCTCAAATCTGAAATATATATTTTTAAAAGTCACTCTTTCTCAAAGTATTTAAAATATTGCATCTCTGGCGGCAAACCTGAAAACTATCATTTTATTTCTCTGGTTTTCATACTTCCACTCCCAACCCTATCCTTTAATTCTTTAACAGCCAGCCAGTTTGTTTCCTTTTTTTTTTTTTTTTTTTTGGAGTAAATACAATATATCCCAAACACAAACACTGACAATACTCCTTGGTAAACAAGGAAATCCCAAAACAGTCCAAGCCTATAGCTTCACTCCCAAAGTGTGGCACAGGCTAAATGATAAGGAAAAAAACAATCAATGGCCCTTATTGATGCAATCAGAATGCTCCTGAGAGTCCACAACTGTTTTGAGAATTTGCTGATGTAATCCTGAAGAAAGTTTCAACACATTCTGCAGACAAATATCAGAGAATAAGTCTTTGATTAATAATTTTTCTATTTATTTCTGCCAAGGCGACTGAAAACACGAAAGCCTTTTCATCAGAGAGGTTAGCATAGATGTCAATTTCCTTTTCCTGTTTCTCTGTTAAAAGAAAAAGGGAAAGCTTTTAACATAAAGGCAGTAGATTCAGTAATTTTTTAAAGTTTTCACTATTTTTTAAATGATAATAAATACTATACATAACACTATGATGCATACTAAATGGTATAAAGTATTTTACTAAACTATTGAAATTAAGACAAAGGAGTTACTAAAATGCATGAACTTAATTCTAAGACTAAATAGAGACTGGATATATATTTCTATACAGTCTAATATTTCTGTAAGAATCTCAAATATTTCTTTCTTCTCAGTAGCATGAGCTCACTGTTTCAATCAAAAAATTTCCTCACCCTAAATATGGTCCCTTCTGAATATCAATGGTGCCTTTATGAATATAATAAATTCTTCACCTTAGCCCTGCTACAGAAAATAAGAATAACCAACATTTATTTCTACTTTACCCCATCTGATTACAAATGTAATCCAAGTTCATGGTAGAATTTTTTTTAAAATACAGAAAACTAAAATAGAAAAGAAAAACCACCTATTATCTCAAGCCAGCTAAAATCATGATTATCATCTTTGTGGGCTACAAATTACTTTTTTCAGGTTCTACTATGATTCTACTTTTGTCTGGATTTTTCACTATGCTTTGATTTTTAATCAGTTAAACAAGTATACAGTTTGCTTTTGTTGTTCAGTCACTCAGTCGTGTTTGACTCTTTGCGACCCCATGGACTGAAGCATGCCAGGCTTCCCTGTACTTCACCATCTCCTAGAGCTTGGTCAAACTTATGTCCATTGAGTCAGTGATGCCATCCAACCATCTCATCCTCTGTTGTCCCTCTCTCCTTTTGCCTTCAATCTTTCTGAGCATCAGTCTTTTCTAATTAGTCAGCTTTTCACGTCAGGAAAATATTAAGAATTTCAGCTTCAGCATCAGTCCTTCCAATGAATATTCAGGGTTGATTTCCTTTAGAACTGACTGATTTGACCTCCTTGCTGGACAAGGGATTGACAAGAGTCTTCTCCAACACCACAGATCGAAAACATCAATTTTTTGGTGTTCGTCTTCTTTATGGTCCAGCTCTCATATCTGAAAATGACTATTGGAAAAACCATAGCTTTGATTATACAGACCTTTGTTGGCAAAGTAATGTCTCTGCTTTTTAATACGCTGCCTAGGTTTGTGATAGTTTTTCTTCTAAGGAGCAAGCGTCTTTTAATTTCATGGTTTCAGTAACCATCTGCAGTGATTTTGGAGCCCAAGAAAATAAACTCTGTCACTGTTTCCATTGTTTCCCCATCTATGTGCCAAGATCTTAGTTTCTGAATGTTGAGTTTTAAGCCAGATTTTTCACTCTCCTCTTTCACCTTCATCAAGAGGCTCTTTAGTTCCTCTTCGCTTTCTGCCATGAGGGTGCTGTCATTTGCATATCTTAGGTTATTGATATTTCTCCTGGCAGTCTTGATTCCAGCTTGTGAATCATCCAGCCTGGCATTTCACATGATGTACTCTGCATATGTTAAATAAGCAGGATGACAATTTACAGCCTTGACGCACTCCTTACCTAATTTTGAACCAGTTCGTTGTTCCAAGTCCAGTTCTAACTGTTGCTTCTTGACCTGCATACAGGTTTCCCAGGAGGCAGGTAAGGTGGTCTGGTATTTCCATCTCTTTAAGAATTTTTCAGTCTGCTGTGATCTACACAGTCAAAGACTTTAGCGTAGTCAATGAAGCAGAAGTAGGTATTTTTCTGGAATTCCCTTGCTTTTTCTACAATCCAGCATGAACATCTGGAAGTTCTTGGTTCACATACTATTGAAGCATAGCTTGGAGGATTTTGAGCATTACCTTGCTAGCATATGAAATGAGTGCAATTGTGCGGTAGTTTGAACATTCTTTGGCATTGCCTTTCTTTGAGACTGGAATGAAAACTGATCTTTTCCAGTCCTGTGGCCACTGCTGAGTTTTCCAAATTTGCTAGCATACTGACTGCAGCACTTTAACAGCATTTATCTGATGCAACATCTTGGACTTCTGGTTTCAGGCATTATAAACGGACTTTCCACTGTGAAAAATTAGGATTTATTGTTTTTTGTCTCTTGCCATCATACTCTTATCACATCTTCCCATTACAGTTATATTATCATTTTGATGAGATCGATATTGTGCTTACATTACTCATTACATAAATTATTTCACTTTTCCTGTACGTTGTTTTCCCTGAAAAGATTCTCTTTCTTCATTTGCTTAGTTTTCATTACTAACTGAATCCAAATTCTCTTCTAGTTGGATAAATCTTTCAAAATGTTTACATATATCAATTTTGTCTTCTTGAAGAGATTCTTTAAGAAAGTCTTATGCTATACTTCAATCTGACATGGTTGCTTTCTAGGCCTACTGCACAATTGTCATGTTGAGATATCTTGTCAACATCATGCTGGAGATTCTTCTCATCTCTCTCTTGAGTTGGACCCTGTGTTCTAAGTTCAGGATACATTCTTGGTTTACTTCTTCATTTTGATGCCATGTATCTTGCAGTAGCTTCCTGAGAAAGGGAGTATGGGTAGCAAATTTTTTGAGATCCTAAATATTAGACTTTCTTCACACTAGTTACTAGTGTGATTAAGTAAAGACCTGAAGATTTCCTCTTAGTATTTAAAGGCAAAATACTATATTCCAAATACTGGTGCCACTGCTAAGAAAATTCTATACCACTTTTTATAGTTATTTTTTAAGTTGTTGCTAATTTACATAAAATGAAATATACGATCTTAAGTGTACAACTGGATGACCCACACCACAATCAAGATATGAAAACTTCTCATTTTCCTCTCCAGTCAATCCCTCCCCACTCTACCAGAAATATTATTCCACCACCATAGGTTCATTTTGCCTGTTCTCGAACATCATATAAATGGCATTGTACAGTAAGTACTGTTTTGTGTCTAGCTTCTTTCATTCAACATGCTTTTGAAATTCGTTGATGTTGTTCATACACAAGTAGTTTGTTCCTTGCTGGAGAGTATTTCACTGTACCATTTTGATTATTTCCTTTGAACACTTGAAGGATTTTCCTTTTAACCAAAGAGAGATAATTTACGATGATATAATTTTGCATAATATCTTGTTTTAACCATCCACTTAATTTAGTGGGGTATTTCAATACAGAAATTCAGTGTCCTTCAGGTTTGGGAAAATTACTCGAATTATTTCATTGATGGCTTCCTTCTTCATCTTCTATGTTCTTTTTCTGCAACATCAATTATTTACATATGTTGACCTCAAACTGGTCCTTTAAATTTCTTATGTTTTTTATTCTATTTTTAATCTCTTTTCCTATTGCTATACATTCTGGTATATTTCTTACATTTTGTCTGTCAGATTTCTGTTAAAGTTTGACATTTTTGCAAATCATATAGACATATCTATACACATACACACATATATGATTCTCATTTTTAAAGTTACATATTTTATACACACACACACACACACATATATATATATAAGATTCTCACTTTAAAGTTCATTTCCCAGGTACTTTTTTGACATCTTCAATTTCCTTTTAAGAAAAAGGAAATTCCTTTTTGTTTCATTACACAACTTCTCTTACAAAGAACATTAATGGCAGTTTTCATTTTCTTTTCACCCTGCAAAAACTCATCCAAGTTACTTTTTTTTTTTTCCTTTATGAAAGCCTGACTGGAGAATTCAATATTTACCATCTCTAATTTTCACCTAACTTTCCTCATTTTAATTTGATAGCCCTGCCCTCAATGATGCTTGGTATTTCTGAAACCAGAAACTCTTTTGCCTTATCTTTTATTAAAGGATAAACAGCCCTAGCAAGGTATTAAAAAAGACTTTCAAATCACCTCTACACTTCCCGACATAACTCATGCAAAAAATTGCTGACCTTAATAAGGAAGATGTAAAACAAAAAAAGGTTTCTTTCTTAGCTTTTCTCAAAGGTGCTTACAATTTAGGTTTCTTGGGTCTACTAAAGAAGTTATTACTTTCCAGAATTTTGCTGCTTCTCCTATTCCCTCTCCTTGTGGAACTTTGCCCTTGAAAAAACAAAGAGTCCCTTTCCTACTTTACTAGGGTTTGGGGAGAGCACAGAGCTAGATGTGTTTATTCAATCTACCATCTTTAACTTGAAGTCTACCTTAATTCTCTATGTTCATTAATAAGATATTCAAAATTGGCTAATAAATTTTAATCAGTGAAAATGTCACTGTTACATTACTAATATCTAAAATAATCATACCTCCACATATAAAATGAAGACATTTTAAACAAACCAAAAGTTAAGTTTAATGATTGGCTTTTATGATAATGTTGTTACCTAGATGTCTAAAAAGATCTCCTTTCATTCTTCTATTTTTTTCAAAATATACAAAATAAAGTCAATTTAAAATGTGCTTTTAGACACATTGTAAGGTTTTCCTTATTAAAATAAAGGTAAAGCTTGCTTCAAATTCTTTAAGCGTCCTATGAGCAGGGAAAAATACTGAATTTAAGTGGCTACTAAACAATAAGAAGCATATCAAAGAAGTCTATTCTAAAATATATAGACATTTTTAATGTTCATATTTCCCACCAGTATTATATTTAGAAAACATGGTGTGCCTTCAGGGACTGTAAGTACAGACCAAGAGCAAAACCTAGTCTGCAACCTGCTTTTATAGTCTTACTGGAACACAGCCATGCCCGTTCATTTACATATTTTCTATGGCTGCTTTCCAGACACAATGACAGGGCAGAGTGGCTTTGACAGAGACTTTATAGCCCAGAAAGTCTAAAATATTATCTGGCTCTTTACATAAAAAGCTTGCTGACTGCCCCTGTTCCTGACCTACATTAAAAGATTCCATTTTATTATACAAAAATTGCCTTTAGGTCTTCCTTGTTTGTAGTAAAAGCATATCTTACTCTAGAAACAGTGTTCTTAAAACTTTTCTATAGCAAACTAAAAATATCTGAAAAAAAATTTAGCCAAATAAATGCTTCTGTTTTCAAGTTAACATAAAATAAAAGATTTAAACCTGCACAGTGAGTACCAGAACAACTACAGAGTCTTCATTTCGCAGAGAAAAGACTGTCATTATCTATTTTCTCATCTCCTCTGACCCACCACCAGAGAGGCATTCCTTTTCCATTCTTTGGATTACGTTCCCTTTACTTCAACTGTAAAGAATGTTGTTTTCTGGGCCATGCAGTATTTTCCTTTTCTCTTTTTTCTCTGTTAGACTTTCCTTTACCTAGTTTCCCTTTTGAAACAGTCTTTGGCATATATTTTCTGTTCACCCCATTATTAAAGAAGCACATTCAAAGTGAGAAGAAAACTCAAACTCTCAGCATAATAGAAGCATAATAGATCAGCATAATAGAAGAAAAAAGAATAAGTAGTGAAATTAGCCAAGGGATTAAGAAGTATCTAAGCACAGTCTTCACAGAATATAGTCAAAGACATTATTAACCTTAATCCTTTAGTCCTATGATATTAAGAAATCTTTAACTTTGATAAAAGCTATAAAGATGAAGATATTTACACTAACAGTAGTAATATTTTTCAAATAGAAACACACAAAACAGAGAAATGGTGAACAGGTAAAGAAATTCTCAATGTCTAAAATATATTTATGGGTGAATACCTGAATACTTAAGACTGAATGCCTGAAAAAGCAAAGTGTAGCTCACAAATAACGTAAGAAATTTTAAACGCATTTCATTGAAGATGAGATTATTCTAACAGAGGTTTTTTTGATGTCTAATAACATTGTTATTTATTTTTAATTGAAGTACAGTTGATTTACTTGATAAGAGATTTTAAAAGAATTATAGAAAGCAACTATCTTTTTCATTTAATTACTGGCTTGAAATTATGGGCATATGGGGGTTCATTATACTATTCTTTTCACTTTTGTGTAATTTAAAAAATTTTCCACAATAAAAGGTTTTTTAAAAGATAAACAAAAATCAAAGAAAAGAAGTTGAAGTTCAACTTGATGGTTAAAAACATCATGGTTGATGGTTATTGGTAGGCACATTACTTACCCAAAGAAAAGAGAAAATCTATAAGGAGAATATGAATATGCTTTAGACAGAGAAGAATTCACCTTACTATCCAAGAAGAATTCGCCTTAGCTTTTGGATACTGAAGAACATTGAAAATTCATACTGAAGAACACTTTCAATAGTAAATTTTTAAAACTCACAGTATAATAGTTTGAAATAAATCTTAACAGAACTTAGATTTATCTTTTAAAAAAGTATAACCATTTTAATAGACTTATTCAGGATGTCATACACAAATTATTGTCTCTGAACTTTACTATCATCAGTTTATAAGAAAGTGAATTTACCTAACTTAAGCCTTTATTTTTCCAATAAGAATTAAATTTATGGATTAAAAAAAAGAAAACAAGTATCTACTTGAGAGAAAATGCTTTTACAAACTAAAATATAAGTTGGAATTTTAAATCCAGGGGTTCAATGCCTACCAAATAGTTTCTTCACTACTATCTAATTAAGATCTTAGAAAACTTTAATACTTGGCGGGGGGGGGGGGACGACTGCTTGGATTTACTCATACCTCTTTCTTCCTCATGTTTTTTGGCAGAAGCACTTTTAGGTCTTCCTCTTCCTCGTCTGATATGATCTGAATGGCTGTTACTTCGAGACCTCTTTCTGTTTTCTAAATCTTTATTTACTGTAGAATTTATCTTCTCTCGCCTAACTCTCTCTGTTCGCCTCCTCTTGGCCTCATGCTTGTTTTCTGTATGGATGAATAAAAGTGATACATTTTAGGGCTTAAGCAAGAACTGTCTGCCCATGTTCACACTGCTTTCTTTTTCTTTCTAAATAGCACTAGAGTTTGCTGCCTTGCATATTTTATAAAATTACATCCATAACATATATGCCCTTCAAACCCATGCAGAAAAAAAAGGAAACAACAGAATTCAGATCCATATTAACATATAAGGTAGGAGGAATATTAGAAAACAAGTATCTCTATTTGATTATTCAGTCCTGTAAATTCACACAATTCCAAGGCAACCTTTCAGCTTTTTTCCTTTTCTCTGTTTCTAAGCTAAAAATGGTGAAGTATTAAAAAGGAAAATAAATAAATATTCCATTCCTTTCTTCCCCCTACCCAAATCACAGATTGAAATATACAAAATACACAGAAGTAAAACTGACCTTAGCTATACTATATTAATGTTACGGAAAAAAACAAACAAGGTATCTAGGGAAAACATAAAAACACTAGGAAAGTAAGCAGTTTTCACTTTAGTTACAGATAAGGTCATTTCTGACATTCTAAGAGCATATTTATCCCAATTAGAATCCAATAGAGTAACTTTACTCAACATGGTGATTTAATTAATGCAAGGAGCCACTCCTCCTCACTCCAAACAGATTAAAAGGCTGGGTAAGACAAACAATAAATTTAATACATATCTGACTTTAAAAGAAAGAAAATTCCTCAAATGCCTAAAATAGTGGTGGTAAAGGGGCAAAACAAATAAGAAAATTCACATCCCGAACACTGAAGGGAAAACTGAAAGGCTATGTAAACTAAGCATGCTCAACAGGCTACTATAAAGTAAAATAAATTTAAGTAAAATATTAATAGCTGTTTCCAAATACCATTAGAAAATTAGTTAATTCCAGGTTTCAAATGAGACATACACCAGATAATGCAAGCACATTTAATTATTCCAGACTGTAAGAAAGTTATTAGTTTAACAAACAATTTGCAAGGAATAAAAAAGAAAATAATAGAGTCAAAAGAGGTATCACCCATTTACAATGTGAGGACCTTATTTGGAATTTGTTTTTAAAAACCATTTATGAGAAACCTGAAAATTTCAACACCAGTTGGATATTTGGTATTACAGAATTAAGTGTTATTTTTTATTGCATGTAAGTTTTAAAAATTTATTTATTTATTTGGCTGTGCCAGGTCTTAGTTGCAGCATGTGGGATCTAAATCTCTGGCCGGGATTGAACCCAGGCCTCCTCCATTGGGAGCATGGAGTCCCAGCCACTGGACCATCAGGGAAGGCCCTGTGCTTCAGCTTTTAAAGGTCAACCTTTCAGAAACATATAATGAGAAATATTTATAATTGAAATTATATGAGATTTGCTTTAAAATGATATATAAGAGAAGAAATGGATGTGGATGTGACAGTGTATGCTTAGAATTTCTGAAAAAAAATTGATTTGATACAGTTCCATTTATTATGGCATCTAGTATTACTGCTAAAGGCAGAAAGCTTATTATTTTAGTGATTTTTTTAAAAAAAATTTTAAATGAGGCTTGAAATTTCTAATCCAATTCTGAAAATATAAAGAAATATGATGTTATTTTAAAAAATAGGAAATTAACATGTGATTCCAGTATTATTATCTATAGATTTTGTTCAAATTTCACAAAATTTTATGTATGTCCACTATTGGTTTTCATACCTAATTCAAGATATCACATTGTATTTATTGGATTGACCAGTTTCAGCTACATGCAATGAATTCTGATAACTTCTCTTTTCATCTTTATTCTTTACAAATATTTTCTAATTTTTCTTGTTAGAGCTTCTTAGACACACCCATCATTTAAAAGTGGGCATTTTATTTCCACAAATATGGGGTTTTAAAACTATTTTTTATATTAATTTCTCATTTAAATGCTTTCTTCTCCACAGTCACCCTGTGTTTTTTTAGTCTTTTAACTTTCTTGAGGCTTTCAATGGGTAAGACAAAGATCTCTCTTGGTCAATGTCACACTGCACTTGAAAATATGTGGGCTCTTTTCAAGTATCTCTTAATATTCATTTCTGACACAATTCCAGAGTTAAAGGAGAATAATAGACTCTGTTTGATTTCAATACTTTCAGACGATGAAATTTTTGCACCTCGTTTTATGTCCCTGGATATGTTCCAGGGTCTCCTGGTGTATAGTCTATAGGAACTTCAATACAATTTGTACCCTGCTGTTGTGTGAAAATTGCATAAATCTTAATTATGTTGAATTGGCTCATAAGGCTAGTCTACTATATCTTTCTACTTTTCTGTTTATTCATTCTATTAATTTTTGAGACTTTGATGCAGAAACTCCACCTAAAAAATCTTAATTTATCTCCTTAAAAAATAATTGTAATACATAATGGAACTATATGTAACTTTGATCTGTATTTTCCAAGTCTCCAATAAATGTGTTATCATACTTTCATAATTTAAAATATTTAAAAAATTTTAAATATAAGAAAAAAATTAAAAGTTGAAAGAAATAGTAACTGGTAAAGCTTTTTACAGTAGGCCTTTTAGAGTTTAACACTGAATTTAAGTTTGTTCCTTCAGCTACCCACTCATCTCTGCAAACTTATTCATAGCCAACTTCTCAAAAAAGAAGCATCTGTACTTTCTGCCTCTAGTTTCTCACCTCCCATTTATCCATCACTTCATTCCAGTGTAGTTCCCAACCCAACGAAAAGGATCATCAAGAACAAAAACCTCTGTTGGCAAATCTAACTGACACCTCTCTTTAATCTTCTTAATTACCATTTCTCAAAAATTCAAGAGGACTACTCTTTTCCTTGAAATTAATCTCCCTGATTTTTCAAGTTCTCCAGGCTCCCCATTATACCAGCCATTCCTCTTTTATCTCCTTTGGGGTCTTCTTCTCCCTGCAGATTCTTTTCCATCTCTAATATTAAAGTCCGAGGACTCTGTCCTGAGCTCAGATGGACCCAAAACATTAAGTGTTGCTGTTTTAATGGTCTAAAATTCATACTTTCAGCTGTGACTTCTTCCCAAAGCTCTAGATTGTCTACGTGACAGCTTCACTTGTATGACTCACAAGCATTTCAAAAGTGCCCCAAAAAATAACTCTTGATTTTCCCTCCTCCAACCTTCATTATAATAGTAAATAGCACCAACAGTTACAAAAGCCAAATTAACCTAGTCCTTTGTGACTCAGATTGTTTCTTCCATCATCACAAAAGTCCACAGGTACTCCGTGCAAAATATATCCACAATTTCCTCATTTCTCCCACTTCTGTGGGCAACATCCAAACCGAATATATTCTCTAAACAGCTGCCAAAATTACCTTTAAGAAAAAACCAGACTGTATAAGTTCCTTTTCTAAAATCTTTCATTAGGCTTTTCACTTTACTTAAAATAAAGTCAAATTTCCTGACAAAAGACTACAAGTCCCACTATAAGACATTCACCTCTCACCCATCTCATTTCATACCACTAGCCATTTTGTTCACTACTCTCCAGACATGTCTTCCTCTAAAACAAGTTCCTTCCTCCTCTTGAGGCTCTGCATTTGCTAATCCTTCTGCCTAGAGCTCTCTCCCCAACACTCTTCATGAGACAGGGTATATTTCCTTCAGATGTCAATTTACAGGTCACTCCAAGTCTCCAAGCCCACGTTACTTTCTTCTTCTACTGTTACTATAGCCTGTTTTTTATTTACGTACATGCTCAATATGTCTCCCCCACCGAAGTATAAGCTCTAGGAAAGTTGGGACACTTGTCTGTCTCATTCACAGAAACTAGAACATTAACTACACATGTTAAGTGGTGCTAAATAAACAAAATTAGACTGAGTACATGCATTTATCTCACTATGTTCTCAAAAATTCTATTGAAATGCAAATAAACATGGGTAAAAGGAAAAAGGAAAATATATCAGCAGGGCTTGAAACAGGAAATAGTGCTATTAGCAATCTGAAATTACAGAATTCCAGCAAGTTGGCAAACTGACAGATTCTGATTAAGTAACCAGAAAAGAAGAAACTAAAATTCAAAATAAGACTATGAGATGGTTTCTATAGAAAGGGTAGCTGTTCTTCCCAAAGACACTCCCAGGATAGGACAAAAAGTATAGTAAGGAAGAGTAGGCCACAGAGTGATCATCAGAATAACTCTAGAACTACTGTAGGACAGTTGGGCCTATGTATACAAAGCAACTGACATAAAGAAATAAAGCTTTTCAGAACCAAGCAATGTTCAAGGGGACTTTGAACTTCCGTATCATAGAAATATGAAAGAGGTTCCTAGGTGGTGCTAGTGGTAAAGAACACAACTGCAATGCAGGAGATGCTGGAGTCTTTGGTATAATCCCTGGGTTGGGAACATATCCTGGAGGAGGCATGGCAATTCACTCCAGTATTCTTGCCTGGAGAATCCCATGGACAGAGGAGCCTGGGGGGCCACAGTCCATAGTATCACAAAGAGCTGGACACGACTGAGCAGGCACACACATTAGAAATAAGAAATTAAAAAAAGTAGTTCCTTATAAAAAAGAAACACTAAAAAGAATTTCACATTCTGCCTCAGAATGACACTTTTCTTATTTTGGCAATCATGGATTTCAATTGCATCTCCCAGCTTACCTAACTGACATCTAAAAGTCTGCTTCTTCCAATTATACAGAACCTCAACCATTACCTTCTTCCAAATACACACTAAAAATAAACTTCTTCCAATTATACACTAAAAAGATGTCAAAATGGACCTTCAAAACAGTTCAAGAAGATTTTTCCAGTGGTTCAGTAGTTAGGAATCCACCTGCCAATGCAGGGGACACAGGTTCAATCCCTGGTCCAGGAAGAGCCATATGCCATGTGCAGCAACAAAGATCCAGTGCAGTCAAAAATGAATAAATAAATAAATAAATAAATATTTTTCAAAGTGTAGGGTATTCATGCAAGTTATCTACACTGATAAACCAAGGCCTTCATTTACAAGTATCAACAGATAAT